GTCACATAAAATTTGGTTGAAAAACTCTAAAAAAAAATCACATAACAAAAGAAGGCTAAATTTATCACAGAGTACTTTGCCTAGTGCACTTGAAATATATTACATTATAAACATACTATGAATAAGAAATAGTCCTGTATTAAATACATTCACATTTTTTGTGATGTCATTAGACACCACAGGTTTCTTAAAGTGGACACTAATGAAGAACTTAAATGAGACAATTATCTTCCATTTTATTGAGAATTGGCAAAACAATAAGAACCACCACCCAGAAGACAGACATATGTCAGTCTTGGAGCATTTGCAAAGATTTTCTGGGGTCTGACAAGGGACAACATGAAATTCTGTGACATTGTGCTGAACTGAGAAAATAAAACACAGGGATTGCCAGGGACAAGAAAAGCTCTAGAAATGATAGCCCTGAGAAAGAGTAATAGAGAATGATTGGCGGCAATGGTAATAGGCAAAAAACCAGTAATGGTTTTTAAAGAGATCCTTTCTATTTGTGTGACTCCAACTGTACCTAAAGAAACAGTCTGTGTATCTAAGGACCCAGATCCAGGAAGAATGAATGAATTCTTCAAAGAGGGATGTCTCCACTATATTATCCCTACTGGAACAAGTGTTAATACTGATACTTTTGCTAATTGCCTGGGTTAAGTCACATAATTTTGTAGACAAAAACTTTATCTGAAAAATTTTTCATATGTATGAAGTTAACTACTTGTATACTTCTTCAGAAATTCCAGATGGACACCAAGATTGTTTAAAAAAATCTCCTAAAAATAGCAACCTGTTTTTCTTCATTAGCTGCAGGCAAAGTAATCAGAGTTCATTTTATGTAGAACACAAAAAAATTCCTATTTAGCTTACTTCCAAAACACATAGACCAGATGGTATGACATCTTTACATGCACTCTCCTTAAATTACAGTTACTAAATATCTGATAAATTTTAGCATGAATTATGTTTGGACGTTTATAGTAACTGAGTAGAAAAATCATGAAATAGTGGAAGTTGGAAGGGCTCTCTGGAGATCACCAAGTGTCAATCCCCCTGCTCACATAGTTTCAGCTATAGCAGATTGCCCAGAACCCTCTCCAGTTAGGAGGAGACTCAACAACCTCTCTGGGCAGCCTGTTTGGCTGTTTGACCACCCTGCTGCTGACCAGGGTGCATCAGGCACAGCATTGCCAGCCTGTTGAGGGAGGGGATTGTCCCAGTCTGCTCTGCACTGGTGTGGCCTCACCTTGAATATTGTGTGCAGTTTTGGGCACCACAATAAGATATTAAACCACTAGAGAGTGTCCAAAGGAGGGCAGTGAAGATGATGAAGGACCTTGAGGGGAAGTCATATGAGGAGTGGTTGAGACCCCTTGGTCTGTTCAGCCTGGAGAAGAGGAGACTGAAGTGAGGCCGCATGGCAGTCTGCAACTTCCTCATGATAGGAAGAGGAGGGGCAGGCACTGATCTCTTCTGTGAGGTAACCAGCGACAGGACCCAAGGAAATGGCCTGAAGTTGTGTCGGGGGAGGTTTAGGTTGGGCATCAGAAAGAGGTTCTTCCCCCAGAGCATTGTTGGGCACTGGAACAGGCTCCCCAGGGAAGTGGTCACAGCACCAAGCCTGACAGAGTTCAAGAACCATTTGGACAATACTCTCAGGCACATGGTGTGACTCTTGGGGATAGTCCTGTGCAGATTTGAGAGTTGGACTCAATGATCCTTGTGGGTCCCTTCCAACTTGACATATTCTGTGATTCTGTGAAACGTTGCCTTTGCATTAGTGATCAAGTATTTCAACAGGACAAAAGGAAAAAATAGCGCACCAAGAAATAAAAATAATCCACATACAAAAACCCATACCTGTAAACAATGTATATGTTTTTAAAATTCCTTAAATATGTTGAAAAATATATCAAAAAATAAAGCATTTTTACTTCACTACTGAATGCCTGAAGGGGACCTTGCTAGCTCTAAAACATTTACATTCTATGAGTTTTTTTAATACTGTCAAATAGATCTCTCTTGGGAAGTTAACTTCAAATACACATAATTATTGACAGTGTTGGTAATACTATTAAAATAAATCTAGAAGATGTCAACAAATTTCTTTAGTTCTTGAAGCTGAACTGTACTTTTATACATCAGTAATATGACCTAATGAAGCATCTCAAAAATGAAGATCCATGGTGAGTGGCGATAGAATTGGGATTCTCAGCTTGTCTGAAGTTACAATGTCTGCTTCTTCAGAACTTCTACTTGGCTATTGCAAAGGCAAGACAAATTTACAGGTTTTTTAATATAGTCACCAGATTTTATGTGAACAAATCACAACAGTATATCTCTCACATCAGTTGTGGCTATGACTAGACTTGGTATCGATTTCCCAATGTTTGCCAATGAGAACATCTTTGAAGTCATTATTCCTACTCAACCATTAAAAGTGTTACAAATTTTTGCCTCAGTCCATGCAGATGAGGATGCAGAAGACAATTTTCCACAAAATACTGCTGCTGAATACATTAAGTATGTATAAAGACAATGAAAAGAAATAAGAACTTCCTTCCCAGCTGAATGTTTTGATATCTTCAGCTGACAGGGAGGATGGCCTTCCAGAAATTTCCTTGAATCTCTGCCTAGAAGCATCACTTTCATCTTATGTTTATCATAAGCCAACTGCTTTCTCTCAGACTGCATATATATCTTCCAGGCACTTCCATATAGTTATGGAACTGACAAAAATCAGACTTTTAGAAATAAGAATACTTTAAAATATATTTTTAAATATTTAAGGAATGCATCAAACAGAAAGGGGGGGGGAGGGAAGGAAGGAGGAACATGTTCTGGTAAAGTTGGCAAGATAAAACTTCTAACCATGCTGACTTTTATTAAAGTATCTCTTACTGGTTTATTGGTGGGTATATATTTTTAAAATTAGGCAGTGCCGAAGGCACTATGTTTGTGTTCTTTGAAGATGATACAACCAGATATAGTAGACTTTATGTTAGAAATAAAATATTTTTGCAGGAGAAACTGCTGCTAGCCAAACAGATTTCAGTCTTCACATCCTGACTCAAGCTTTCTGGTGTAACCACCAACTTGTATGATTATCACTGTTTATTTCACTGTGTACCTTCTGAGTTTTCTTTAAATATATATGAAGACACTACTGAGGATCTGATTCAATAAAATGTATGTCCAGACCTCCATGCCCTGGAACCTCAAACAATGCTGCAAAAGCTGCAGAAATGGGACATATTTTCTATTGAATTGGGTACCGAGAATGCTCATAAGTTTTTTGTATTGATTTTTGTAACAGCCAGCAGTGAAAGACAGACAATATTAGCTTCCTCCACTACAGGCCTGTGGATTTCACTTTCTGCATGCAACAGGGCATGGAGCGAAAACAGGCAGCAACAAATTTAAAAAGAAAGTACAGGCTAGTTTTTATTCCGCATAAAATCAAATGTCTATCTTACTATAAGAAAATAATTTTCAAGATAGAGACCTTACTATGATTAACAAATTAAACAAGACTCAAGTGTGGTCTTAACTGCATTTTTTAAATGATTTTACCTAATATTAGTCCTATGTGTTGATGTTTGCAGCCTACATAAAAAGACTACAGCCCTGAATCACAAAAAATAAGTAGGACATTACAAGAAATCGAAAAAAATCTTATTTGCATAAAAAAGAATCACTCAAAAGCTAAAAGCTCAAATTTCTCAACTACTGTTCTACTAAAACTCTTTGGGGGTATTTTTATGCAAGATAGACAAGACTAAAGTAGCTGTTCTTTCCCCTCAATTACAGTGGCTTTCTGTTAACAGCACCAACTAACCCCATCCATATTTTCAACTTTCAAGATTGTGTTGTAGCTATCAGAAACCCAAGTAATCTACTGCAAAGCTACACTGAGCTCAGTTATCTTCTAAGTAACCTGTGAGCATCAGCTGCCCAATCCTGGCCTACTCCATGTCCTGGTTTCAAAACCACAACTACACCTGAAAGATGACCAAATAATGCCGTACACACAAATTAATTTAAACATTTCGAATTACTCAGCATCAATAGTAACACCTATGGAATATGGTTTCTGCCCTTCTAAACTGGATCAGTAAGATGGTTGATGTGCTGTGTTACCTCCTAACAAGCATTGTAAAGAGATTAGAAGGATCTCATAAAAAATGAACAAGGTTCTGAAAACTTAGAGAACTTGATTTGAGATGAAAATTTCTTATTTTCTGTATATGCTGCTACAAGGCACTGAGTCAAATACTGGGCTTGTATAACAGATACAAACTTTTAATAATTACAATGTTGGTCAAAGATTCATACAGTGGAATGTGAGACAAGAATAAAACACTAACCAAAGCCTTGCCCGCACCCCTCGCCCACCGCCCCCCTGAAATACAAAACCAAAACTACCTTAGGCATACTGAAATCCTGTTTGCTTTTTCTAAAATAGACTCCAATAGGATAAACATGCATTTCAATTCTCATCCAAGGAATTTCTCTTTTAATATAAATGCATAAAATCCTCGCTGTATAAGAGAAAAACTGGAAAACTACTCTAATTTGAATGTTTAACTGTAAGAGGAATATCAAATGGGCATAATTAACTTTCATATTCAAAGTCTTTTAACGTAATGAAGATACCAATAAGATTTTAAATCTGAAATTCCTAAACCTCTTTATGAGTTCCTCGTAGTTTTACAACAGCAACCTTTAAAGAGCTGGTATAAACTTTTAGTAAGAATAAGTGTACAGAAAATGAGAGGTAAAGAAAGCGTCCCTCGGCATTCTCCGAGAGTTTAGAAATGAGTACTATGTAAACAAAAAATGATCATGTTTGGCAGTTGCGCTTCTTTAAAATTGTTATATTGTGTTAATAGGGACCAGTTGCATTTTCTAAAATCCTTAAGACTTAAAACATGGTTTCACTCAGAGAATACCTTGATTGCAGCAGAATTAGAAGAAAGTGTAAGATTACATACCTCTCTCCATGTTGTAAGAGCTTTGGATTTTTTTTTTTAATAATTGTAGAAGACTTTTTTTAACTCTTTCTCCTGTTCGGGATTATTTGTTCATGATGTTGAGAGCCATGGCTTAGATACTAATTTTTCTTCTAGATGCAAGAAAAAAAAAGAAGAAAAAAAAGTAAACTTTCATTCTGTGGAGTGAATATTTATAGAAAATAACTAATGCAAACAACTATTTTGTTATTTTTCAGACAATATATACTGTCAAATATTTGTTTTACTTCAGCCATACTTGCAGTTATGAGTTTTTGGAAATATGAATCTATATGGAGTTGTAATGTAATTCATATATAAAAAGATACTTTCAGTTTTTAAATTAAAGCTTGGTCTATAATTGCATCTGGATCTCAAAATCAGTAATATAAATCCACTTTTTCAAATTTAATTGAATACTTGCTTGACTAAAACTTATATATCAACAGAATTTTTTGCCCACCTACTTGAAAAGAGCAAGAGAACGAATTTAGTCATATAATGCTTTATATAATACATAACCTTTATAAAAAGGTAATTCAAGAACTGTAAAAAGTTTGATTACAAGTAGGTTTTATGTTACTAAATAAACAGAAATCTCACCATAGTATGGGACAGATTAAGTCCAAATTAGAGCTTAAGTTCTTTGAGTAACATTTTATATGTTATATGATTATTACTTACATACAGACTTTCTCATTGATGTTCCTGTTGATTAAGTATTTATGGTCACTGCTTTTTACTGCTCTAACATCAACAATGTCCAGGCCTGTTACCCTTTATTACATACAGTCAGCTGATGTACTATATAGCCACTGGCCCATGACAAAAATGGACTGTACAATCAGAACAGTAAGAAAATCAAGTTGATATAACTAACAATTTTTGACATCTGATTTTGATGGAAATAGGACTATACATTTAAATCATCTGTATTCAAATACTAAAGAGGAAAATTTATTCAGAGTTTGTAATATTTTTTAAATTGCATATCAAGAGTTAGATAGAGTTTTCGTATCCCATGAGGAAATTTTCAATATATATAAAATCCAGCAGTCTGCTACTTTGTCCTTTTGGACTTCACATTTTGTTTTTGACCAATGAAGACCTGTGTGCAGTCCTTCAAAGAGGATTGATGGCTGTGGGAAGAGGAGAGGTATCTATCCTTAACCAGAACAAGTCCCAAGAGGCAACTACTACATCTTCTAATACTTTATTATTGGTTAATCTGGGGGCTTCTTTCACTCAGATGAAATAGCTAGAAGGATGTCACTGCACAAATCAATACCTACTGCCTTGCCATTGATGTGCCTGCTACCTTAAACAACAACAGCTGTGTCTATGATCATCTCGGAGTTGTTCAGGATACTAATTGTAGTAAGCACACTACTCCTTCTAACAAACAGTCTGGGAAGATGTTGGCCTTCTAATACATACTTGAAGAGCTTGCTGCACACTATCCAGTAGCCTTTGCCATCTAATTTTCTGTCTTTACTGTTTCCAAAAGGATTTCACTCCCATTTAAATTAAAATTCATCTTTATTTTTGGCTTTATGTTGAAAAAATAAGATATTAACTTATTAATAGAAGTAGATGCTTGCAGTCCTTACACCATACTGAGATTAAGAAGCAATGTTTTTTACGCAGATTTAATTTTTTCTTATGGACTTCTTAACCTAAAATAATAATCCAGCACTTTTTAAAGCATTACATGGGAATGAGTTAAACATACATTGAAATTCTTCAAAGTATGTTGTTGGAGTCAATGGGTAGACCTAAAATGAATGGGGATCTCTTGATATTCAGCACAAATTTCACATTCATTGTAAAAATAAATGATATACAAAGATAAACTTGCATATGCATTTAAATCTCACAAGATACAGAAAACTGCTCAGCTTTGCCTGACACTTCCAAACTATGCTTCAGCTTCATCTGCATACAGCATCAGAGATGTGCTGCTCTGCTATTATATCCTAACAGAAAACATGACATCTCCTATCAGAGGTAAGACTGCCTTGAAACATGATCACTGTTTAGCAAATAAGGTATCTATTTGCTGGTGAGGCCACACCTGGAGTACTGTGTCCAGCTCTGGGCCCCTCAGTTCAGGAAGGATATTGAGGTGCTGGAGCAGGTCCAGAGAAGAGCAACAAGGCTGGTGAAGGGACTCAAGCACAAGTCCTGTGAGGAGAGGCTGAGGGAGCTGGGATTGTTTAGCCTGGAGAAGAGGAGGCTCAGGGGAGACCTCATCACTCTCTCCAACTACCTGAAAGGAGGCTGTAGCCAGGTGGGGATTGGTCTCTTCTCTGACGCAACCAGTAGTAGGACAAGAGGACATGGTCTTAAGCTCTGCCAGGGGAGGTTTGGGTAGGATATTAGGAAGAAATTTTTTACATAGAGAGTAATCAGGCATTGGAATGGGCTGCCCAGGGAGGTGGTGGATTCACCGTCCCTGGAGGTTTTTGAGATGAGACTGGATGTGGCACTTAGTGCCATGGTCTGGTAACCACGGCAGTAGTGGATGAAGGGTTGGACTTGATGATCTCGGAGGTCTTTTCCAACCTGGTTGATTCTATGATTCTGTGATTGTGTGATTCTATGTCACATTAGGGAGCATTAGTGCTTTATTGAAAGGTGGTGAATGAGTATGGTAGGAGTGAATATTGGTTGCTATGGGATATTTTCATGGCTTTTTCTTGTGGGTTCACTGGGAGAGTTTACTTAACTTAATAATACAGAACTTCTAGTTCTCATTACACCTCTCTAGCTATGTTTTAACCTCTTGAGTTTCCCTCTGCTCACTGCTCGTTCTCCACAAAGCCTTTTCCTCCGCACTGCCCCAGGAGCAACCACTGCTGAGTCATGTCCTGCTGCCACAGTCCTTCAAACACTACCACACTCTACCTCACTTTTCTATCCTGATTACTGCACATAACATACCTGTTATATTATTTCTTTTTTTAAAAAAATCTGCTAGTGAGAACTTAAGGGAGTATTCACATAGTGGAGAGCAGGGACTAGATCTGTAGGAACAAGCCCTCTACACTAATACCGCATATTAGAAACTCACATGCCTACTGAAATATCTCAGATTACTTAAATAAACCTCTGAAGATGGCTAAACAGGCTGTGGAAAGGGCAGATCCACTTTAAAAAAAGCATTTGACATTCAAAAACCATTTTACTGTGACTCTCAACAAAAAGTCCAAATCAGCCATGTCTGCCACAGGATAAGAAAGTCTGTCCTCATATGAATAAATATTTTTTAAAAAATTTTAAAAAAATCACTTTCATGGTAAATGAAAATGAAGGTCAAATAATTCCTGGGCAGAGGAGTAGATAGCTCAATATATTCAGAAATTATCTGGAAATAGGGATGGATAGACTACAGGGATGAAGTTTGCTTAAGATACTATTTAAGGAAATGAAAAAGCAATAGTTTCAGAATGTAGAGTCCTTCCAATATCAAAGGAGGTGAAATTCAGTGCAGTTAAATGGATGAAGCACGTGAAAAGACCCCATAACTTTCCATGTAATGAGGACATCTGATCTGATTACTGCTGCTCAGGAACAAAACCTCACGTCCTTTAACCAGATATTTCTACAAAACATAATTTCAAGTATCAGACACAGTATTAAAAAAAATAAAAGCACCAACGATGCTAGAAACTGTTACAAAACCAAGACAATTAAAACAAAAAGCGTCACTTTTGCAGTGCTTCTACATTCTGAACAACCTATACATACACATTCTAGTGTACACTAACTTAAGGATTTTCTCTAGAAAGTCAAGTATTTTCTCCTAGTACAGAAAAAAAAGAAGAAAGTTCAGAGAAAGAAAACTGAAGATGATATGAAGTAATTTTTCTCCAGATTGAGATACGTGTGATTGAAAACAAGTGTTAAAAGTTGGGAAGCCCTTGATTTTCAGTCTAGCACAACCAGAAAATTTAATAATTAAGATCTGCTTCTAAGGTCATTAGAAACTTGTCTAACCCACAGAGATAAGAGAAATTTCCCTTCCTGTCATATATCTGACATACTCTAAAACACAAAATGGGAGACTCTTGGATATTCCAACTCAGGGTCAGTCAGAGGCTCTCTTTATAATACTAATTCATGAATGAACTACCAAATGAATAAAAATATAGTTTTTCACATCCAGTGAAAAGGAGAAATGAAGAATCAGGCTACTGTGTACTACAACAACTTTACTAAAGTAGCTGCACCTGAACTGGCTTAGGGAACAGGAATTGGAAGATGAAATCCTCATGCCAATGAAGTAAAAAATTTGCCACTGACTCCACTGCAGCTAGATTTATCCAAAGCAATGAAATCCCAGTGGAAACAGACAAATCAGGAAAAGATGTCTATAATATGAATTACAGCTGAAAATGAATTACAGGCTTTTGAGGAAAGGTTGAAGAAGCCTTTCCAGAAAAGAATTCTGAAATAAAAGAAAATTGTAGTAGTAGATGCTTGCTTCCTCCCTGCCCTATTCAGCAGCTAAATAAAGACAGTCTTTCAGGGCCAGACTTGTACAATGCCACAGCATTCATCTAACCCTGCTCCTATTGGAAACAATCCATTGTCTTCTAAGCCAAAAAAATTCCAAAATGAGTATTGCATCTTTTAAACATATGTTTGGTGTTGCTTAAATCAGAAAATAGGAGGAAACCATGTGAACTAAATTAAATGTATCTGAAAACTAATAGTACTCAGCTAAACCTGAAGTTAGTAACAGCATATCTAACGTTCTTTAAAAAAGTAAATCATTCATCAGAACTCTGGAATAATAACTTCTAAGAATTCCTCCATTTCAAAATTGAAGCAATGATTCTCAGGTTGGCAGAGTTGGCAGAGGAAGTACTACAGTTTGTGAAAGTACAGTGCAAATGATGCAATATGTAGATAACATATTAATGACAGTGCACTGATACAAGGAAGAACTGAGGGTTCAGATATGAGGGTCCCTTTTTAAAATCCCTCTATAGTTAAAGAACTCACAGGCATTCACATTCACACTTTTTATAGTAGGGGACTGAGAGAGAGACATTTAGCAGCTCTTGAGTGACCGCAATATTCAGAAGGTAAAGACTGCT